TGTGGCGCTAACTGGTTGTGTGATAGTAGGTTAAATTAGGTTTTATATTTTGATTGATCACAAAAGACCTATGACACTTACTATGCTCATCCATGCTAGCCACAAAAGGTATTCCTATAAATAAATACAATGAAAATGTGCATATTAGTTTTGTGTATTTTTTGAAATGCGTATTTTTTTCTCTTGTCATTCTGTTCCTAGGTTCTATACCAAAAGCAGAGTTTTTCTTATGCTTGTGCCTCATCAGTTTGTTTTTGGTGCCAGAAGCAGAGCTGTGTGCTGACTGGCAATCTGTTTTCCTTGTTTATATACGGACCACAGAGTTTGTTCAGAGCCAAGGTATGAAGGGACATTTCTTTGAGGACCATGATTACAGAGATAGATAATTTTCCCAGCCTTAAAGAGTGCAGTGATGAGGAAGAGAGACATGTTGACTCATGACTGAAACCAACACTTTTTCTGCAGCAAAGCCCAGATTGCCTAAGTCCTCTGAGAAGCTGTGACTCTTCAGCTACCTGAAGAAGCCAGTGTAGCACACTGTGATCTACTCATGCTGACCACTATACCTTGAGATTAGATGTTTTCAGTTTGTGCAAACTTCCCTAATTATGTCCACTATTGGATGTGGCCAGGCTTCACTAGTAACATGGGTTAAATTTGACACCAGCCCAGGAGTAGTAATGGATCCAGGAGACTGCTCCACCATTTCATATCCAAGTTTGTGCACCAAGGCATATGTGTTAGATCATAACCTCCTTGCTTATGCTGTCTGTCCGTCTCCTCATCTTCCACCTGTCCCTGATGAGCTCTGACTTGTTCATTTTAGACACCTAAGCTGCTGTTCTTAGGTCCGCTCTGATAATGGACATGAAACCTGTGGCATGTGGCAGTATTTGTGGCAAGTACACTTCAAGTAAATATTATCTTCAGAGCAAGACTAGTTTGGTTTTTGTGGCTTTCAAGCCCAGATATAAACCAACAATCTCACACAAGGAAAGTGGCATATAAAATGAGAGAACACACAGAAATTACATAACAGGCTGCTTTACTGTGTATCTACTGCCTAACACACAGTATTTACCAGAAAATAATTCATGTATTAGTGGAAGAGAGAATGATCCTTTCTAGTCCTGTTGTAGATGTGGTCACTCTCACTTAAGTGGTCGTTACAGGCTGGATAATCGATCATGGAGTTCTAAGTCAGACACCGTGCTGTTAGCAATGACCAAAAAGGACAGGCTGAAAAGAATCAGGATGCTGAGTGTCCTCTCAGAGGGTGTGGTCTGAGCCTAGGAGCAAGACTTGCCTTTCTGAGAAATGACAGTGCCCTCCCTAGTGGAATGCTCTGGCCTAGTTTTCTTTGGATATGTCCTGCCAATTTTGTCCCCTATGGATAGGGTAGAAAATAAGCCAGTATCCAAAAGGGACCTAGGAAGAATAATATAGAAATAAGTCTGCTTGGAATCTTATAGAACCATTGAGATTGTGGACAGTGAAATGTGGAAGAACAATATCACAGGCAAGACCAAGACTGAAGCTTCTGCCTGAGCCCAAGAGTCCCTGGCTGCAAGAGGATGTACAGCTAGGAGAGGAGAGCGTGCTCTATGCTTTGGACCTATATAGAACATGCTGTCATTGGCACTTAAACTCTGTCCAGGAATCCTATGCTAGCGTTTCTCCAAAGGACTAGAGTTCAGTGTGCTAAGGAGTTACCTGATTTTCCATTTTATATTGCTGCACTATTCATAATAGTCTTGTGTCATCTTGTGTCTATCAATGATTGAATAAAGAAAATGTGATATGTCTATTTTAGTATATATCACACTAAATATATATATATATATATATATATATATATATATATATATATATTTCAGCCAAACCGAATAAAAAAATGATCTTGTCATTTGCAACAGCCTGGATATATTAGGGGTCTATTATGTCAAGGGAAAGTAGCCAGGCACAGAAGAACAAATATACGTTATTCTTTTATGGAAAATTGAAAACCATTGTACTTGTAGATATAGTGTATAATAGTAGTTATCAAAGGCTAGGGATTTAGGAGCTTTTGGAGATGTTGGTCAGAGGGTCCTAAGATTTATCCAGATTTTTGATATCTGTTGTACATTACACTGATCATACTTAGTAGTGTGTATACATCACACTGATCTCCCATGGTAATGTATGTTTCAGAATTGCTAAGAGCAAATTTCAGATGCTCTGAGTATAAAGTATCATAATTATTAAACTGTTGATTATGTTGATGAGCCTTACTTAATCATCCCAAATTGTATATAGATATATAATAACATCTCTTAGAACATCATCAATAGCTTCAAGAAAAGAATTGTTGAAATGATTTTTGAGTATCATTTGATTGAGTAAATCCTGGCATGGAAAAATAGTACTTGGTGAAAGCAATGGGAATTTATATGGATTCGTTTCTTACTGTGCTTGAGAGGACATACCAACTACTTTAGATATGTTATATAAAACTCCAGTGCTGGAGATACCTATTACTAACTACATGTGTAGATAATAGAGGATGGGAAAACTTAGATAGTATATTAAGGGAAATGGAGGTAACAGTTCACATCTATGCCAAAATGCAAACTTCCATTCCTTTTCCTTGCAGATAATAAAAGCCACAAATTGGTAGATCTCAACTCAGTTGTCCTAGCAAGGTAACCTGGTGAAGTCAGGATACCTCTGTGATGGCCTTACCTTGACTTTCATCCACTGTCACTAAGGGTCAACTCAGCGAATCCTATCTTCCCTTAGATATCAGGATCAACAATCCACCTATCATCATGGCCCACTTAAGCAGATGACAGCAGCCTTGTTATTGAGGAAGTAAGACCAATAGACCAGCAAAGTTCAAGATTGTGGAGATGGAGCCAAAACACGGACTGAGAGTTAGAAGACCAGGGCTGCTGGTAGGCAGATGGTTAGGGAACCTGCCTCAGTCCAAGCTCTCTCCTAACTTCTGCATTACTTTTGGTCATCACTATCTTTTCCTGGGACTCTGTTTCTTTCTCTTCTTTTAGAGTAGGATTGGGACTAATCTACAGTAATCCTTTTCAAAGGAGTTTTAAACTACAAACCCATTTCCCCAAAGTAAATAGAACCCAGACGTATTCTTGTATACGACTGGGAAACATTTTAAATATTATTTTTTGGTTTTTTGCTTTGTGGATTTTCATTTCTTTTTTCCTGAGGAAGGAGCCAGATCTTCAGTAGGTGTTAGGTGCAGGAATTTTGATTTTCAGGCTCAAATCAGAAGCTGATTTTTCCTTGTAAAGCTACACAAGACAATTATGAGACTGGTATGCAGCATACTTTGTAAACAGATGGGAGAAGGCATGCCTTTGGGAATTACATGATCTCAGAGTGATATTTAACTCTGTGCCACAAAAGAATGTAGTATTTTGTGTATTTGAGACATAGAGACCTTAAGATTGATCCGAATTCTGCCAGGCATTGTGGAGTATTAGTGACCTGACCCTGCAGTTCCAAGTGCAGGAAATATTCAGCAAGATAAACAAAGCACCCACAGGGAAAAATGTCATGCACTTTGTGTTCTCTAAGCTATGAACTTCTCAACAAAGAGAAGCTTGGATAACATTAGATATAATGGATGTATCTGTAACATTCGTGATTACCTAAATATTACAGGTAACTCCCCATTTTCTTCTGTGATGGCCTCCCAGACTCAAGTTTGATTCTTCAGAGGAGGACACTGTAGTGCTGACAGGGATTATGGTTCTCAGCAGTGGACTGGATATGTGTGTTTCCTGTAATTGGATTTTTTATGATAACATTTATATCTGTTTCCTTTCAAACAATGAAAATAAGCCTGCCTCATTATCTTATCACCTATGGGCCCTCTTTTGAATCATTTAGCAACTTCCTATCTGAAAAGTGTGTGACTAAGGTCATTTTTAAATCTCATACAATTTTGAAGTATCATGTGATAAAGTTGATAGAAACTGTAAGAAGAAATATAAATAAGATGTTTTATTTCACAAAATTTCCACACAGGCCTCATGTGGCGATCTGGTGGATGGAGGGGGAGTTAATTTGGAAAGTCTATGACCATTCCAGCTTCACTGGGATCTATGATTATGTTCATCATAGAACCTAAGACCTGGCACTATTTTTTGGTTTTTAGCTAGGAGTGAGCTCAGTACCTTGTGATTGCCTGGCAAGTGCCTTGGCAGATGAGATAATCCCCAGCATCTGGCCTAGCACTTGGTACGCATTAATTCACACTCAGGAGGAGATTATATTTATAAAGCCAGGAAAACTTACTGGGATTCTAATAAATAAATATCAGTCTACCAAGTCCAGCGAAACTCGTGCCATGAATAAAGATTTAAACCAGTATCTGTAGTTGTGGGGAACCAAGGGGCTCCTAAGTCCAGTCAGAACAATAGCTAAGCAGAATAAAGGCCACTACCCAGTTCTGAACCAAGGTTTCATTAACTTGTGAAGAGAGACAAGTTTTGGTCCTGGATTGGGAGATTTGAAGAAGTTACCATATTAGATCAGTGTGGCCTCGTAAGGAGAGGAGTTGGTAAACAGTGACAACTCTGGGAGGGATAAAAATGGGCAGCCAGGTGGCTGTAAGCTAAAGTAAGCCTTGGTCTTATAGGAGAATGGAGAAGGAAACAAATTTCAGTGAAGGTGAGGGGTCAGTCAGGTAACCCTGCACTCCATGTATATCCCTAAAGCTGTGGGAGAGAAATGTCCTGCTCTGGAATACCCTTCCTCTACTGAGCCTGATGGGGTCCAGTTGTGACCTCAGTGGTGCCTGGATGAACTCCAGGACCCAGGAAATCATCCCCTTCCCTTCTACATGTGACACAAAAGAATTCATATTTTCCCCTGGAGCCCTAGAAAGAAAGATGTACACTTTTTCTTCACTTGGTGCTTAACTATAGCCCTTGCAAAAAGAGAGGCTGTGGAGAAACTAAAGTGTATAAGGAGGAGCTTGCTAACAGTTTTGAAAGGGGATTTGCAAAGCTATTGAGTGGAGAAGGAGTGGAGGAGGCAGAAATCATCAGAACTGTGTCACTGTCCTGCTTATCACAGAGTTGGTCCCCATGAACCAAAGTACGTGAGCAAACAAGAAACTAGCCTTTCACTGAGATGAAACATTTATTTAGTTGCTGGCATCTGCTCTAGCATGATTCTAGATCCAGCTCCAGGAAAGATGGTTGCTGATAGAGGGGATTTACTTTGCTGTGAGCAGTCAGCTCTGTTTCATGGTTTTCTTTATCCAGGGAAGAAACCATGAGACTTTGGTAAAAATACGTGGTGTTTTTCCATTTTTTGGTCCATAGGAGACAATGCCCTGTGCCACATTATTACACATAGGGTGCCTCTGGAGTCACCCTGTAAATAGAGAGTGAGTCTGTGAACCATGGCACCACTTCACGTCTCACTTCCATTATCCCAAACTGTCTCATGCAGTACTGATTGTAACGTGTGCTTGTGAGAGATTAGAGGGAACTATAGGCTCTTAGTGGCTGAGCTCTGACTATGGACATTTTCACTCTTGGATCCAGCCTTTGTCTTCATCCCCAGGTCTGGACCTCACCCCTGTAGAGTTGTGAGGACCATCCATTACTGGCCAGGGAGGCTGATGACCAGGTATGACAATGAGCACAGATGATGAGCTCATTGACTAAGAGGGCTGCTGTCTCAGAGGAGGTTATAATTTCTGCACACCATGGAAACAGTTTTCTCATGCCTGTGCCATGAGCTCAGGCCATGTGTTGCAAACTGAAGCTTCCAGTGGGGTTTCCTTCTCCAGAGGCCCCTTAGTAAAGTGGTAGGGGCTTTAGGCTTTAGTACCTCCCAGCTCAGGCTTCTCCCTTCTTCTCTTTGCTGGGATAAACATAACGGCCTATGGGGTGAAGGAATCCATGATGCTTGGGTCTCCTGGTACTAGATCTGTCCCAAACACTCTTTCTCCCAAACCCAATTGTGACAGATGCCTTGTCTTAACTTAAAAGAAGTATTTTTAATCTTTGGGTCTCCCACACAAATCTCTGTAGCATGATCATACTTTGCACAGCTCTCCTCACACTTCTCATCATTCTGCACTACTATCTCCTCTCCCTGCAGTTTTCTTGAAGGTGTTCCCTCTGGATCCAATTTTCCGCACCCAGCCACCTGGCACTGGGTACCTGACTTCACCTGGGTCATCCCATTGGGCAGCCTGAGGAGGTGCACAGCTTTAGTCAGCTTGGCCTTTTTCTCCATCTGGTGGAAAATAAGTAAGGAACTCCAGTTCAGTGTATGCTCCTGGGTATGCATAGTGTGATGGACATGATGGCAAAGAGGGCAGGGGCAGGGTGACAGTGGGAGTGGCAACCATTCTTGAGGAGAGCAAGAGTGGCAAGGACATGTGCCTTACCTTAAGCAGCATGATGTCGTTGATGTGTTTTTTCCGATTATAGTCTGGGTGGGGAAATGCGTTTTGTACATGGAAGACCTGCTGGGTGTCCTCTTGTTCCTTGATGTTGTGGGCCCCCAAGGTGACCTCTATTTGGCTGTACACAGAGGCAAGTGGATTGGTGGATGGGGAGCGACAAAAGACACTACCCAGGATCTGTAAAAGCAGGCGACAACTGAAATAGGGTATAGCTGTAGAGGACAGAGGGCTACCCAGCTGAATGACTGTCCCTCCTTCTTAGTACCGAGGGAGGGCACCTTGAGCACCAGAGGTTCTCAGTGGTCAGTGCCTCCAGGAAAGGACATGAAACTGTTTTACTTTGCTTGCTTATGCAAAAGTATGGTCCTGGGTCTACATGTAATCAGGTTTGATTGCCCTTGTTTTCCCTTATATCAGGAATTCTTTGGCGGGGCCTTGCTTTTCTTCCCTTGGGACATGATGACCCTTTCTGGCTTTCACCAGTCATCCTCATGTTTATTTCCATGAGCTCATCAAGCTCCACAGAAAACAGGCACTGAGAAGTGTTTCCTGTAGCCTGTGGATTCTTTTTCCTTTCTCATCTCTGTAAACAGTGAACAGCTATCAGCACAAAGTCCTCATGAATCAGAAAGCCACTACAAAGTTTTCTAGGTTTCTCAAGCCTGATCTTAAGGTAAGCCATGTAGGTAGGAGTGGGGTTTGGCTCCATGTCCCCCGATGATCTCTCCTGAAAACAACAATAAGACTGGGTGCAGCCACTGAGTCCTTAAACAAGTATCTACTTACAGTCTCTGAACAGTTGAGCCTTTGGGAGCCTGCAGTTTCTTGAAGTGGACAGGAACCTAGAGGAAGATGCCTGAACTTGTTTTCCAAAGTGCAGGAAATTGAGTCTTGTTCTACTTGTCCTTTTCCTCTCTTTGATTGGAGATGACTATATGTATCAGGGGAAAATAAAACCTCTGAGGCTTTTCATCATTCCTCTGCTAACTTTTTCCTTCCCTTGAGTAAATAAAATCCTTCTGAGTCCTGTGATGTCTAGGATGGTGATGCTTCCTCCTGGCAGCCCTCTAGGTGTACTGCAGATGTGATCTTATCCTGTTTCCTATGGCCTGACATGTAGAGGGTGTCTCAGATCTGTTCACTGGCAGCATGAAGGAAGAGCTGCAGTTAGTGTCTGGTGAGTAGAGCAGTGCAGATGGAATTCTGGAAAGCAAAGAAGTGTTACTGCCTCTGTGGTTCCTACTGGAAAACAGAGGAGCCACTGAAGTCCGGAGGAGGAAAGCAGAGCTGGAGAAAGTTAGTAGGAGTGAGGAGAGGCAAAAACAGTGTTCTGAGGAGAGAGATTCCATCCATTCTGGGGAGCTCTAGACATCTCTGCTAGGCAGTTATGAATGCAAAGCCTTTCCCCTCCCCTTACCTGGATGACGGGCCTATTCTGCCCTGTTTAGGAGCACTTGATATTTTCTTCTTTTTACTTCTCACCTGCATGAACTTTGAAGAAAGACTCTCTAGATGTGCAAGCTGAGGCTTACTGAGAGTGCATTATCAACCAGCTCTTCTTGAAAACAAACTCTGGTGGCTTATGCAGTGTCCTACATGATTCCCTCTGGCGGGATTGGAGTTCAGGTTCAGAGCAATGCTTGCAGACAGAAGGCTCTGGGTTGTTGCATAGGAACAGGTGATTCATATGCTCTGTGCAATAAGATTGGGCCTCTGGAGGGTGAAGATGGTCACTCACCTGCCTGTGCTCTGGGGAGCAGAAAGAAGGCCAACAGGAGCAGGAGCAGGTGCATCTTCCCAAGAAGCAAGAAGTGTCTCCAAGTCAAAGCTTATGAAGATTTGTCCATGTTGTCTTTTAGCCCCCAGCAGAGGAAAGGGGAGGAGTTGGCTCAGTGTCCTCATCTTTGTCACTTGTTTTGTGGCACTAAAACTGAGAGGCTTTCTAAAACAACACACTATTGCCACCGCCTCTTCTCATCATGACAACTGTTAAGTGTGTGAGACCCATATAATGACCACAGCTGATGATTCATATAAAATCATGTGTTCCTGTCCTCACGAGAAACCCAGGTGTGCAAGGTGGGTCTGCAGGATGTGGTATTAGCCAGGATATTCTCATAAACATGGGTTCCAAGTGAAAGAATTATCAATGCCAGGCTTCATCAGGGTAGTTTTAGAAGCATTTGAGTATTAGGACCATCTCTTGTGCTAGGAGCAAGCATGCTGGAGAGTGAGCTGACCATCTGATGAAAGAGACAGAAACCCTGGAACAAAACTTCAGGAAGGCCACAGTGGAGCAATGTACTTAGGAATAATGAAGTGTGGCCAGAATCCGCTCAATCCATCTGGTGACTCTGACATCATGATAGCCTCCTTCGATGGGAATCCTAAACATCTCTTATTTAATTATAAACATTCAGTGTGATGGAGTAGGACACTCTTCTCAATATTTTTAAACAAAATGTCTGCACTTGGAGTTTTGGTCTAAATTAGCAAATTGCTGTGGGTCCTTGCAATTCAATCTATGTGTTGACATAGGTTACTTCCATTGCTTTGGTTGTGCTGTTGTGGATCCCAGTAGAATCTCCTAAACTAAATATTGTGGTTTTTGGGGGGGTGTATATCAGGATAGTGATCCCTTGTTTTTAGGGATCTTCTTCTTTTCTCGTTTTCCTATCCTATAGGAATTGAGAGTTGCCTTGCTCCATGAAATCCTTCTGCCATAGTGTTCCTTTTTTGAAGCCTACCTGCCTGAATCCACTGCAACCCTGTTGCTCAAGAGCCAACTGTAGGTCTGAACAATTTGATTTGGTGATTTCAGCTTCCTGTTCATCTTTAACATGCTTTTCAATGAGGAGTATCACACGTGAGACGCCAAAATTCCAGTTTATATTCCTTTTGTAAAGGACCATCAACATTTATTAAAGCTGAGCTTACTTTTAACTGAACTTTCCCATTAGTAAATAATTAAAAGGGAAAATTTTCTTTCTGACTCTTATTATAATACATATTCATGAAGAAAATACAGAGGGCAGGAAGGAAAAATAGCATGCATTTGTCTATCTCCCCCAACAATTGAAAATTTTAGTATACATATTTGTGTTATACAATGATTATACTTATTGTGGGAATTTTGTATGTAATGCATCTTATTTCTTCTTGTCCTCTTCTTGTCTCTTCTGTTGCCCCTCCTTACAACACTTAGTCCTCTTCTTCTCTGAAAAAAATCTATCACTGTTTCTTATTATGTATCTTTTACATGTCTCTTCATTTATATTTCATGTTTCTTTTAAAAGAGAAATCAAGAGATATTTAATATTGTGTTGATAGTTTATTTTATTTAACATTGTGGTCCTAAGTAAAACAATTTTATACAAATGACTTTTGTTTGTCCTTCTTATAGAAGATTAGTACTCCATTGTGTAAAATGCCACATTTTTAAAAATGCATCTATTGCTGGACAGACAAACAGTGTGATTCCATGTTATAGTTGTTATGAATTGTGCTACTATGAACATGGATATATGTCTATCGCTGTAATAAGGTTTCTCGCTCTTTTAGGAAGATAGGGAAACTGCTATCTTTAGAAGGGAGACGACTGGACTGAATAGAAGTTTACTTTTAGTTTTCTGAGGAATCACTATACTGATTTCCATAGTCTTATATACAGCCCATTAAACTTCTGCGTTGATCATATTAACTCAGGGCAATGCTGCATATACACTGCAATTTACTTCCTATTGTACTCATTCTTAATTAATCTTACAATTTAAACATTTTAACCACATTTAAAATATCCAATTAGTAAGTATTACCTTAGTAATTGTTTCATAGTGTTATTAAAAAATTAATATGCACTAAATTTCTAAAGTTGTAAATTTAAAAAGCAACATAAACAAAGTGTAAATAATTAAACTCTCTCAGATCTTACTCTGTAGCATAAACAATTAAAATTAACTGATTTTCTGCACTCATTGATACTTAGCATTAACGTTTTGAAGTATGAACTAATACATTTTTCATGAAATATCTGCATTGTTAAATTTGAAAAGGGATGATGTTAAACACATTTGTGACTCATTTTTAAAACTAAGGGAAGGCAACATTTTAATTGTGTAACTATTTTCACGCATACAATTCAGTTGAATTTATGGCATTCAAAATGTGCATTTGGAATTTCAAAATATTTCTAGCACTTCAGAAAGTTATATAAATATAAAATGATTGCTCCCCATTTAGCTTTTCCTCATCATCCTGCTCACTCCACTGCTTAACATTTTTCTCTATGCTCTTGTCTATTTTGAATATTGCATGGTTGGATCATGTTTCTAAAATCATTTTTAAATCTTTGGAAAGTTTAAACTATTTACATTTAAAATGATTACTTATAATGAAGAGCTTATTTATGACCTTGTGCTACTTGTTTTTTATGTCATGTGTTTTTCACTAATCAGTTCTCGCCATACTGCCTTGTTATTACTTATAGGCTGGTACATTTAAAAAATCAAGATATATTCTTTTTATGGTTTGTTTGTTCCTGGTGGTACTAGAGGTTGAACCTAGGGCCTTTGGACTGAGCTACATCCTACCTTTCTCTTTATTTTTTCTTTTAGACAAGATTTCATTAAATTGCTTTGGCTAGATCTTAGATTTCTCCTGCAGCAGCCTTTCAGAGTCTTGGGACAGCTGGCATCAACCACCACTCCTCATTTAATGCCGAGTGATGAAGGATAGATTATCTAAATGTAGAATCCTTTCTTTCTTTTTCATTTTTCTTGGTACTGAGGATTGAATTCACGCCCTGCACTTGCCAGGCAGGTACTGTGCCACTAAGCTATGTATCCTGCCCAACAGGACTTTCTTTCTGCACTTTAAGGGTCCCAGTGCCTTTGGCCTTTAAGTTTTTGATGTGAGATCAACATTTAATATCATTGAGAATCATTTTCTGGATGAATCACTTGTGTTTTCAAGTTTGGAAAGTTTTCTATCTGTGTTGTAACAGGTTCCTTGTAGTAAGTTCCCTTTTGAGTATTGAATTTAACCTGCTTAGAAATTTTGAGCTTATTGGCTTTGTGTATTCTTACACTGCATCATATTTGGGAATTTAGGTCCATCATTTATTGGAAATGTTTTTGATTTTGAAATTATTTTCTTTATTCAGTATCTTCAACTTCCAT